CATGGCATTTCTGTTTATTCCTATTATTGACAATTCATATGAGCACTGAAATACAAGTCCTGAATCGCCCGAATGGTCCAATGTGGTCCTGGGAATGGTACATCCCCAATCGAATCCTTGCTTTATCTTTCATAAAGCATGCCCCTATCCGCATTGCTTTTTATGAGGCACATTTTCCCGCAGTTATCTTGTTATGTCAACTCCCACCAAGGAGTCAGCACTTCCCAGGAATTGGATGAGTACCGAAACCTGAGTTCTCTAGAAAGGTGTGTGTGTGTTTGAGTCAGGGGAGAATTTCTTAGGGCGTCTAGAACTTTGGGCTGCCTATAGAGGATCCCTGGACCCACACTGACTCAGAGGTAGGGGTCCCTTTCTGCTGACCATTGTGTCCTACAAAGAAAGGTGAAAGAGAGAATATGAATATGAATATGAATGAATATGTGTGCCTGTGTGTGTGTGTCTGTCTGTCCAAATGTCAAGCTATCCCCAACTTGAGGCTGGAACTGAGTGGTCAGGGTCAAGTTTATTCCACAGTTGAGGAAATGACTGTACAGAGTCCTGAACCCAAGGTTTCCAAAGAGCCTCAGCTGGGAGTCAGGAGTTGCCCTGCCTCTAACTGGCACCCCAGCGCCAAGATACTTTGAAATAACTCTCCTTGAATGCCCTTATCACAGTCACCAGTACAGCTGGAAACCTGAGGTGAAATGCATTCAAAGGGCCAGAATTCCAAGACTCAGGGAAAAGTTGACATGCAGCCCTGCCCTCTTGCAACCCAGCCTTCTTTCTGCAGCCAGAGCCACAAGGTAGCGCTGTGATGCTGGTTAGGGTTCCTACCCAGAAAGGAAGGCTGCTGGAAGTTATTTTGGGGTCTCTCTGCTCTCAATAACAAAACATTCTTTCATTTTTTCTGTTTTTTTTTTTTTTTCTTCCCAGGGCTTATGTATCACTTGAGGAGATACTGAAAGGTAGTTCCCGGTCTAGTAGGTTGAGGGTGGGACCTGAGATTCTGCTCTTCTAGTAAGCTCCCAAGGGATGCTCAGTAAGCTGGGCCCCAGTCTCAACAAACAACAGGGAGGGCTCCTGGCTCTTGAAGAAGTACATCCTGAATTTAAATGACCACAGCAAGAGAAGTTAAAGAACAGAGGGTGAAAGGGACTTGTGCCTAATTTTATTTGTGGTGAAACTGCAGCCTACCCAGTCCAGGAGGGAACTGCACTCAAAATCTCATGGCAATACAGCAACAAAGTCAAGACTCAGGCCTCTGTGTAGGGAAAACACAAAAACAAGCAAAATTCAGAGAAGATACTGAAGTGTCACCTGTGCTTTCTCTGGACAAACTATGGGTTCCTTTACCTACTCCCTCCCGTTTATTTTCCTCCTCCTGTTGCTCCCTTTCTCTTATTTTATTAAACAACAACAACAACAACAATGAACACATCCTGGTTTTATGATAAGAAAAAATAATTTTAATAAAAGAAAATTCTCACGGAGTTCTTAGTAAATGAGATCATGTTTATGAATGGGCTTGGTAAACTGTAACCGCATAAGGCAACTTCATGTCCTCGGTGTGGAGTTCAAGCTCCAGCTGTCCAAAAATTACTTCAAAGAGGTTCTCTTTACTATTCTGGGAACACGAGTCCCCGCCTTGAAGAGGATCACCGCCGCTTCCAACACGATCCACCTGGAGCCGCTTCCTGCTCCCCCCTTCACCTCGGCGGTAGGGATACTTTCCCCAAAGCGCAGGCCTCGGGGATCTTCCTCCTTAAATCGGGGAAGAAGGCTCCCTAATCCGTTTCGTACTAAACGACCTCGGGCCAACTCTGCTTTTGTTGCTGGTTTCCTACGCATAATTGCAAAGCAAAGTTAATTTGAAAGAAAAAAATGTTACAGCTCAGGGGCGAATTCTAACGAGCCTTGGGCAATTAGGGAAGAACGCATCTAATTACCCACAGCCTCCGGGGCGCCTGCACAGGTGCTGGAGTTCAAGGCCCGAAGAGGAACGAACTGGCTTTCTGAACTCCAAATAGGAAGGAAGTAAAGAGAGAAAGAAACGCACCTCCAGTCTCTGAGCTCCCCAGATGAGGGTGTCAGAAGTTCCCTTCTCCGGTTTGGGGATTCCTAGAGTTAGAACGTCCCAAGGTGCTGCTGCTGCGGTGCGATGGTCTCAAGATCCTAGGGTCACACGGGCTGCAGTCCGGGTGGAGCACAGTCCCTGCGCGGCGCCCATTCATGCTCCGCCCGGGTGGCGTGCGAGGTCTGGGTGTCGCCTGCCGGCAGGAGACCGAAAAGAGCTGTCTCTCTTCGTGCATCTCCTAGCCCCTTGGCTGCACGCAGTCAGTCCTCTCTCTCCTGGGGCTGATTTTTGCTATTGGTATAATCTCTCATCTGTCGCCCAAACCAACAAGGAGTTGGCGGGAGGGGGCGGCGAAGACATCCAAGAGGTTTCCAGTTCCATCTTTTCCCGGGCCTCTATCGCGACGCTCCAGGAGTTTTGTGTCGCGGCGACACACAGACATATATATGTGTATATGTATTATATATGTGTATATACATATATATGTATATATGTATATGTATGTGTGTGTGTATACACACACACATACATATATACATACACGCCTTTCCGCACGTCTATGTCCGTTCCTTTGCAAAGCGTTTCTCACCCACTTATCTCGTTTAACTTCAGGAGGTCCCTCTGAGGTAGCAGACGCAAATTCCCATTTGAGGACGCTAGAGAAGGGACTGGCTTAAGGTTAATGGCATTGTCAAAGCACTGGACTTGGTAATCAAAAAACAAACACAGAAACAGAGACATTCAATTCCCTGCTAACTAAGTGCAAAAACTGCTCTTTCCAGCTCTGGTGTGGAGGCTCTCCCCAGCCAAGGATAGAACTCCAAGTGGAAGACTCTCAATTTCTGCTTCTGCCATCCTGACCTCTATGTCTGGGAGAGCCAGTAGAACTGCACCCATAGATTCCTTGCATCTCATACATGGAAAGGTTCACAAGAAGAGGAGGGAGGCCCCAAACCTGGAGATTCCATGGTCACAGGGCTGGGTGGGTGCTCCAGCTGCCACCTGCCTTCAAGTGGTCATTTACTAAAACCAAAGCCAGGAAGAAACAACACTTAGGCCTGCAAAGACTGTCCACAGCAGTAGCTATCAGCCACATGGGGATAATTCAAAGTTAGACAAGTTGTCAGTGGAAAATATATCCCAATTTTTGAAGACATAGCATGACAAAAGAGTAAAGCATATATTGAGTACATGTTGAAATGATATTTTGGGTATATTGGGTTGAATACAATATATTATTAAAATTATTCTCACCTGTTTCTTTTATTAATACGGCTACTAGGAAATTTAAAATTACATCTATGACTTGCATTCTATTTCTATTGGATACCACTGATTTAGACAAATTCCTGTCTAGACTGAACCATGTTCTTTGTGAACAGAATTGTGCAGTCCCCCAAATAAAAAGAAATTATTAATAGTGTTCATACAACCTTCTTCATGGCCCCACCCTTTCCTACCAAGCTAACTCTGCAGAAAGAGGCCTAGTTTCTCTTGCCAGAACTAGTGCTAGTGCTCAAAGTTTTGCTTCTTTCTTTCAATTAAAAACAGTCCATCTTACCACTTAGTTTTATCTGAAAGCTTTGAGTGGCACCTCTGACATATTTAATGTTGAAAGTCCTCCCCCACAAATAAAAATTGATGAGATAAAAGTGGGAGTGTTGCTAGATTTCCTCTGATTTTGGTGAGCCTATTGCTTACAAACAAAACAAAACAAAAACAAGACATCAAAGTTAAAAATCCAGTTTCTTTCAAAGCTCACTTCGTTGACCATCCAATTTAAATGTTCTTTTTGCTTTCTGTATGGGAGGGCTGCTGAGGCATAGCAGAGGGTGCCAGGAATGGAAGATCTAACCCCAACTATTGAAAGCCATCACCAACCAACTACCCCGAGTCCTCTCATCTCTTTGAACATTTTAGCATACCCATTGGGTCCAGGGCTGCTTTATGAAAAGAAGCCATGGATAATGGGCAAATGTATTTCTACTTGCCTCACTGGAAAATCAGATTTATGGTAGGGCAGTAATAGCTGTGGGATGACCAGAACATCCCGCTCAAAAGATTCAACGAATTGTGATATAATTGCTTCTTGGAGCTAGTCCTGGGACTTTAGGTGCTTGCTATGATTTGTATCAATTCCTTGAGTGATGTTTAGACTTTGGATTGCTACTCTGAGGCCCTGGGTGGCCCACCAATGCTGCCAAATATGCAGGGTGGCATCCAAGTTGATGGTGTTCTTAAGTCTAATATGGGGGAGGGGAGGGGACTGGGAGAGCCCTGTTGTGTAACAGGGAGACTAAAGGTTTGAAGGTTTGGAATGGAACTGGGTCTCACTGGAGAGCTAAGTGTGGTCTGAAGTTCTCAGAGGCAGGGAAAACCAGCTGGATCAACCAGAGCAGATTTCTTCTATTTAAAAACAAATCTAAAAACACCTACTTTTTTTTTTTTTCCAAACTTGTCCTTACTTTCAGAAGACAAGCGCTGTCCTGGCCTTTTATTGCAATAATGTAGTCAAAGGTACAAAAGGCCGAACCATGTGAAAAAGCCTGTTTTGTGCAGCACAGGAAAGGGTGAAGCTATATGACTCCTGATCCTGGTGTAGACACTGCGCCGTCTCCAACTCCATCCTATATTGCCATGGACCCTCCCTGATAGAAAGCCAGAAAGGCCTGTTCTTTGGGGCTTCACCCTCTTGAAGATCCCTTGTGCTAATCCAAAAGCTGCGGGCAGCCTCTCCTCAACTCCCATTTACAAAACAAATCAGTGTTCACACGGTGTGCTAGGAGATTGAGCCTCTCCAGCACTCTTGGTACCTTCCTCGTGGGTCCCAATTCGGTCCTCTTTCTAGTCCTGTCCTCATGTCACGGGGATATTTATTTTGTGTAGACTGCCAAAGTATCTATTCGTTTTCGTCCCTATTTTCGGCTCACATGGCGGACACGAACCGATCTACCCCTCCAGGATAGGCGGTGGCATGGCGGGCATGGTAGGCCCCTCCACTGCTCCCTCCCAGTTGCCCGCCAGGATTGTAGCAAGGCCCTAGCGCTCCGAACTGGCCTGGCGACGTGCGCCCGTAGAAGTCCACAGTGGTCTCGACTCCGCCGCTGCTGCCACTAGCCGGGGACGAAGCGGGTCCCGCCAGGCGTCCAGCTGCAGCGAAGAGCGCACTGCTGGGGGCTTGAGGGTATGCGCCGTCGGGACCCGTGTAGGCAGCAGCGTAGGTGGAGGGGTTGGGTGGCCGCGCCCCTGCGCAGCCGGTGGTCTGGTAGCCGGTGGTACTGGCCGGAGCGCCTGCAGAGGCAAAAGCACAGGAACCGCCAGGCCCAGACGGCGCGGGACCCAGATCTGGGCTGAGTGGTCGCTCAGGAACCAGGCCGAAGACACGGCAAGGGCTCGGAGACGCGGAGGGGTAGTAGACTGGAGGCGGCGCGGCGAGCGACGGCGGTGCATAGCTCGCATAGACCGCACCCGGGTAGGGCGTGCGTGCGGCGGGCACCGCTCCCGGGAAGATGGCTGCGGCGGCGGCAGCGGCGGCTGCGGCTGCCGCAGCCGCGGCGTCGTGCATGTAGGCCGGGTAAGTGGAGAGGTCCGAGCGCTTGAAGCGCTTTCGGCGGCGCAGGAAGCTCCCGCTCTCAAACATGTCCTCGGCGTTGGGGTCCAGCGCCCAGTAATTGCCCTTTCCCGGGCGGCCGGCCTCACGCGGGATCTTGAGGAAGCAGTCGTTGAGCGTGAGGTTGTGACGGATGCTGTTTTGCCACTTTTTGGGATTGTCACGGTAGAAAGGGAAGCGTTCGGTGATGAATTTATAGATGCCACCCAGAGTGAGGCGGCGCTCGGGCGCGTGCGCGATGGCCATGGCAATGAGCGCGATGTAGCTGTAGGGCGGCTTCCCGCGTTGCAGGGGGCGTTTACGCCGCCGCCCACCCGCGCCGCGACCCACGGCCTCCGCGGGGACCCCCGGCCCAGCCGTTGCGGCCTCGCCGCGCTCCTCTTTCACGGCAGCCAGTGCCTCCGACTGCGACGGTGGCGGCGGCGGCCCGCTCTCGGCGGTCATGGCTCAGCCGTCCCGCACGTCTCCAGGCGATTGCGCCGCGGGTCGCTGTCGAGGGTCCGAGTGGGGACCGGTCCGAGGTGGGAACTCCGGACGTGGGGTCCCTGAAACTGAAGCTACGGCCCGCGGTGGAGAGCTCTGGAAGACCTCGCAGGCTGGCCCCGAGAGCACAACTGCTGGGGCTGGGGCGCGCTGGAGGCTGGGTGCCTTCGCTCACAAGGATAGCACAGTACCGACAGAGGCTCGCGAATGCCCTGACCACTTACGACTCAGCTCGTGTTCTGGAGTTCAAGGCCAGGAGGCGGCGCGGGGACCGGAACTGGGCTCAGGTCACCGGCCCGAAGGGTCCTTTGCACGCTGGCGCCAGACCGTGAAGGGGTCCGGAAGTGGTTCTGGGGTTTGGGTCCTGCAGCTGGACTGGAACCCCTGCTGGTCCGAAGATAGCCGTCGGGACGTGAACATAGAGGAGGTTGCAGGTTCGGAGGCCTGAAGCGAGGGCAGTTAGTGCCTGCGCGGGGCTTTCTGGCGCGGGTAGCGCATGCCGCGCCCCTACGGCCCAGGTGGCGGGCCGTACTTACGGCGAGAGGCGAGTCCAGGCAGTAAGGTCGCGGCACTGGCAAGGGTGGGCGGCCCGCAACAGCTCCCCTTCGCGGTGTTGGAATCCAAACTTCAGGCCGGCTGGCGAGGTGCTCCCTTGCTTACACCCCATCAGCTCCTCCCTCCGCCGGCTTCTCCTTAAAGGCGGCTGCAAGCGTGGGGCGGCGCCGGTTACCTGCCCGCCCCCCGGATTGCCCGCCCCGCGGGCCTTGGGCTCACCTCCTCAGGTAGGCATAGTTGTGGCGGCGCAGCCGGAGCCCCACAAACGTCAGAGCAAGGAGGGCGCTTGGAGATGCCGAGGGCAGGCCCCATCAGAGCACCAACGGGAGACTGAGGTCATGAAAGTCTAGGGATATCTAGGTGCCCGGACTCAGCGCTTTCGGATTTTCCCACCTCGGTGAAGAGCTGAGACTCGCGGGTAAAAGGAAGAGCTCGCCTCACTCTCCTGTCCTGAGAGGGTGAGAATTGACCTGGGAAGGGGGTTGGTTGGTTATTGTGGGCTGGAGGACAGAACGGGAGAAGTTTCAAGTAACTGCCTCCCAAGGTCTTTCAGTGTGATTTCTGAACCCTGAATGGGCTGTCCTGCCCACTCCGGTCACGTATTTCAGACGGAGATTCCCAGACCCGAAAGGGAAGGTGACTTGCTACCATCCCACCGCGACTTCACTACTTGCGCCTCTGTTAGGACTGCGCTTCCAGCTGCGTGTCAAAGGTAGACCCTTTCCCATTTTTTAGTCCTAGATTCCTCAACTGTACCCAAGATTTGGATCGCAAGAGTTCTTCTGTTACCGATATTTAGGGAAAGACCATCGTCTTTGAGGGGCTTGGGACTTCTCTCTGGGTGATGGAAAGTGGAGGGAGACTAGGCTCCTGCCCTCTTGCGGTAACGGCCTTCTCTAGTCCCCCCGGGGCCAGGGAGGACTCAGGTGCTCTCAAACTAGCAAGCAGTCCCTTCCGCAGCGGGGCTGAGGGTGCGGGGTGCTACTGCGGGTAGGCACGTCTGCCCGGGAAGGGGCGGGCAGAGGGGACCCCTTGCTCAGCGAGTGTCCGATTTCTAAAGAAGTTTCTTGTCGTCCCCCGAAGGTAGGACTCCGTGCTAGCCTGGGACTTAGCACCGCGCGGCCGCGCCGATCCGGATGCACCCTGTGGCCATTATCGGACTGGTCCCTTCCTCCTCGCAGGACCTCAGGGCATGTGCGGATCTACAGGACGGTGAAGCCGGCTCCGGAGGCTCTGGCTAGGACGCAGCTTTCCCGTGGGGGCTGTGGGTACGAGGCCGAGCGGAGGAGAGTGCCTCAGGAGCTCCGGAGATCCCAGGTAGAGGTTTCCAGTCTGAAATGGGTGGCAGGCCTTCGGGGTTTAGTTGCGTTCTTCAGTGAGCGGAGAGCAGGCTCTGCCCCGCCCCCGCCGAGTATTGGGCTGCGGTCTTCGGAAGAAAGAGGCAAAAAGTCCTCTGACCCTAGCTAGTGTGGGAAGAGATCTATACCGTTTTGTTTGACTTCCTTAGCACAGGCGCTGGGAAGAACGAAGAGGGGCGCTTTACACTCGCTAAACAAAACATCCAGCTTCCTTCTTTCGAAGTAAAAGAATCGTAAAAGAATCGAAAAGCCAGATTTCGTCCTGTTTCGTTTTTTTTCCAAAAGGGAGAATTCTTGAAAAGCCTTTACTTTAACTGGATTGTACCATAGAAATCTTTTAATACTGATTCTTTGATTCTCTGTATTTCCAAGATTCTGAGATTTAGATTTCCAGAATTTAAATTCTGGACGATTATTCCTTCGTGATTCTGTAAAGTTCTTTGACTATGGTTGTATTCTTGTGACTTTAAACTCCTGGTTAAAGTCTAAAAGCCTATTGATTATATATTAAGATGCTAGAACTATGACTTTTTTGCCTACTGTGAGCTGCCGCTTCTCTAGTTTTAGATAGTTTTTCAGCTCTAAAGTATATGCTATTTATTTTGAATTCTTGTCTAGGAATGTCTAATCGGAAGTTTTAGGTCCTATAAATCCACAACTCTTCTTCCTTGATTTCAAAATGTGAGTGCTGGATCTATGGTTTTGTAGCTCAAATAATCTTATTATAGTAGATTTTCTAATATTCATTTCTGTATACTTTCATGATCAGCCCCATGACTTTATGATTCTCTACTTTTGAGCTCCAGTGATTGGCTGCACGCCTCCATGTCTCAGTATTTTCCAATCTTCAATGTTTCATTTTTCTAGAATTCTGATTTTTTTTCTCTCTCTCTCTCTTGAACTTTGTTGCTAACCAGCTACACCTTTGCTGCAGACCAAGACCTAGCCGCCTGAGATGAGAATTCTCCAGATCATGAGTCTATGATTTTCATGAACAAAGGACCCCTAAGATTCCATCCCATAAATGTTTTAGTCAAATATTACACTTTGAATTTTGTACTTTGAAGATCCTCTGACTCCATGATGTAAAATTGAGAATACATGATTTGATAAGTATAAGGATCTTGAGTTTACCCGTTTGGATCAAAATCATAGGTAAAAATTTCCTCTGTGCCAGGGTATTTCCTTCCTTTTTTCTTTACTTTCTTCTTAGTTTCTTGAGTAGGGATGGGGTGGTCATGGTCAAGTCTTCCCCTCTTCATGTTTGTGGGGCCACAAACTATTGAGAAACATTGGTCAATGAGGGAGGGTGAATTCCCACCCCCTGGAAATCATTCTCCCAGTCCAACAGAGGTGGGATTTTGTGGCTGTTGGTGGGCCAGACAGTTTCCATCTGCTTCCCTCCAGTATTCTGCCCCATGTATTCCTGACACCCCCTGGAGAAACCTGAACCAACGCAGGCCATTGTGTGTGTGTGTGTGTGTGTGTGTGTGTGTGTGTGTGTTGAGGGGGTTCTATAGAAGATGCTAGAAGCTCTTCTGTAACAACTACTTTTTTTCTGGTTTAAACTCCCTGAAAGGTTTGTAAATAAAAACGGGGATCCAAAGTGTTGTGGAAAATTCCTCCACCTTCCTTGACCCCAAAGCTCCTTCATAAGGATGCAGAGGTGACCAAACTGGTCTGCTTGTGGAAATTAGAGCTGGAAGGAGACTGGGCCCACCCAGGTTGAGGAAGAGTTACTTAAAGTCATTGGGCAGACAGCAAAACAGGTCTTCTGCCCGGCTCCCCTGGCATCTCTTCCCCCCCCCCCCCCTTCTCTGAGCCTTGCTTGTGCTTAATTTTTGAACTTGGGCTACTTTCTGATCCAACCACAACAGAAAGTATATTGCAGGATACTTGCAAATATGACCCAAGAATCTTCTTACAGAGGCAACACAATGATCTCTATTAGAGTTATCTTAGGGCACACCAGTCAGGGTGACCAGGCTGTATGAGCTCGGCGTTAGAGCAAAACAAAGTGGCCCATGTCACACTCAACCCAGAAAGACCACTGTGGACTTTAGTCCACAGCACATCGGAATTCTGAGGGCTTCAGCTCCAGACTCCTGACCCACCCAGAAGTTTGAACCATCTTCAGCGCTTCTTAGGCCTCAGTTTCCCCTTCTGTGAAGTAGGGATCTCTTATCTGTCCCCTCTTTTTCACCGAGTCTGAAGAATGAAGGGGGCGGGATGCATGGCCGACCCGCGATCGTTTTCTTCGTGTTTTATTTTGGGTCGAAACAAAGAAGAGAAGCTGTTAGGGAAAAATTCAAGATGGGCCGAGATGAGATGCCCCTCGTCGAATAGGTAGCGGGTTAAGTAAAACATTCTGTGTGGCCTAGCTGGGATTTTGAGCCTCAGAGGCCCCGGGCCAGCATGGACTCTTTCCGCTCTCGCTCTCCGAGCGTCGTGGGGACCTCCCCGCGCTTGGTCTGAAAGTAACGTAGCTTGGAGTGCTTGGTCGCCGCTTGTTTACTTAAAACTGCGAAAAGGATCATCTTCAGCCCCAGGACGGACAGTGGAAAAGAGAGAGAAAAAGGAGCCCAGAAAAAAAGGAGCCCCTTGCCTCCCATCTTCGGGTTTGCTTGGACCCGGCCGTCAGCCTCCGGGTTAACCCTGTTGAAGCACCTCGAGTTTCAACCCCCTCCCAACCTCTGCCCCGAATCCTCTGTTCGCGCTGCCCACGCGGGTCCAGAGCGCTCAAGTCCCAAAGCGCAGGAGTCCGGCTGGACGCTTGCTTGGTCGGAGAGCTTGGTCGGATGCCGAGAAGCAGAAAACTGCCCCAGAGCGCACGGACGTGTCAGACCGCGCACTGGGAGTGGTGGCAGGTGCAAGGCGGAGCCCCCGCTGCCCCCAGGTTAGCTCCCCACGCTTTCCCCTGCGTTAGGTGAGCTTTCCGACCACGAAGGAGCACAGGACATCAAACGCATTGGCTTACTTTGAGGGAGGGAAGAGTTGGATATGGCCGTGGACCCTGTTGGGACAACCCGGGGCCTGGGGAGGAGGTGG